TTTTTAGGAGAAAAACCATTTGCCTTGGGTGTGCATTGATTCAGGTGCTATCCTTTGCCGAATCTTGTTTTTTGTTTGTTTTTATTTTTTTATTTTATTTTTTGAGACGGAGTCTCTCTCTTGTTGCCCAGGCTGGAGTGCCGTGTTGCAATCTCAGCTCACTGAAACCTCCACCTCCCAGGTTCACATGATTCTCCTGCCTCAGCCTCCGGAGTAGCTGGGATTACAGACACACACCACCACGCCTGGCTAATTTTTTTTTTTTTTTTTGTATTTTTAGTAGACACGGGGTTTCACTATGTTGGCCGGGCTGGTCTCAAGCTCCTGACCTCATGATCCACCTGGCTCAGCCTCCCAAAGTGCTAGAGTTACAGGCATGAGCCACCGCACCCAGCCTGAATCTTTGTATTGAATTTTTATCCATGAAACTGGATTTTACAACTGGATTTGGAGATTTGTAACACAGAAAACTGTCGGTTTACTTTTTCACATGCAGGCTTTAAAAGTAAATTCTCGTGCTCGTCTGATTCTCTGCTAAATCAACAAAGCGCTGGAATACTTTAGTAAGATCCTATCTGCATCCTGCTCCCCTCCTTACCAACTGTGAACAGCTTCCCCCATTTTCCCAGGTTCCTTCTCTCTTATTCCTCCTCTGCGACATGTTACTCTGTCTCCCCATCACTTCCCCTGGGGGATGTGTTTCTTTCCTGCTTCCCCTGCCAGTTTCTCATGACTGGAAGTGATTTCAGAGTTTTCTGGCCATTTCCCAGAGCACATCAATGATAGAGGCAAAGGTACAAAAGGCAGGTGATACTGTCTTGGGTCTAAGCACAGGGTGAGAAGTCTTGTGCCCAACCTCAGGCTCGCCCCTCTGGCGAGACCCTACATGACCCTTCTGGGAACCTGGCGGCGTCCTAGAAGGAGCCCACGAAGTCACCTTTCTTGACTTCTGTTCTGGACCCTGCTCAGCATGGGGATGGTAAAAATATGGCCTGATAGCAAAAATGTTCTCTCATTTTTAAAATATGTATCCAGAAAAAAAAAATGTATCCCAGATTGTTTCTCTTTCCCTGTGGTCTGCGGGGTTTGCCTCTCTTCGATCAGTTTAGCACAGCAAAGCCACAAGTAGCACAATTCGCAATTTTATCATCAGGGAAACCACAGAAGAAACAGGGAAACCTCCTGAGGAACCATCCTTTGAAGCTGTGTGTGGGATCAGTTTTGGCGTCAGTTGTTAGGTTGAGGTTGGTAAAGAGCAGTTACCATTCGGGTTGGCAAGAATGAGCTTTGGCACAATCCTTTGCCACATGTAAGAACCGTGACATGAAGGTGGACAGCAGATGCTGGGAAGCTTGGCCCCAGACACGGTCCAGTGCAGTCAACCAAGGGGTTGCACAAGTGGCTCTCAGCTTTGGGTGCAGGGGCAGCGCCTGTGTTGGATGGGGCCTGCTAGATGTGGGTGCAGCGCACAGAAGGGCTGAGTCCACGTCTTCCGATGTAACCAGCAGGGGGAGAGCCCAGCAGTTAAGTGCCTGTCCTTCCACAGTGACCTTAGCCATCCCTGAGCTAGTTGAATCTAGGTTTTTGTTTTTAATACTTATATACATTAATTCTGACTATGTGTAGTATTCACTACCTATTCTATTAATACAACCTCTTACAATTATAAATTTTTTTTTTCCTGAGATGATTCTGGCCCTGTCACGCAGGCTGGAGTGCAGTGGTACAATCTTGGCTCACTGCAACCTCAGCCTCCTAGGTTCAAGCGATTTTTTCGCCTCAGCCTCCTGAGAAGCTGGGATTACAGGTGTGCGCCACCATACCCAGCTAATTTTTTTTTTTTTTTTTTTTTGAGACAGAGTCTGGCTTTGTTGCCCAGGCTGGAGTACAGTGGTACAATCTTGTCTCACCGCAAACTCTGCATCTGAGGTTCAAGGGATTCTCCTGCTTCAGCCTCCCAACTAGCTGGGACTACAGGCACAGCCACCATGCCCAGCTAATTTTTGTATTTTTAGTAGAGACAGAATTTCACCATGTTGGCCAGGCTTGTCTGAAACTCCTGACCTCAGGTGAGTTGCCCACCTCGGCCTCCCAAAGTGCTGGGATTACAGGTGTGAGCCAACGCACCCAGCCAAAATGTTTAATAGTACATTTTTTTTTTTTTGAGGCAGCGTCTCACTCTGTTGCCCTCACTGGAGTTCAGTGGTGCTGTCATAGCTCACTGCAGCCTCAAACTCCTGGACCTGAGAGATTCTCCCACCTCAGCCTCCCAAGTAGTGGGGCTACAGGCGTGCACCACCACTCCCAGTAATCTTTTTAGTTTTATTTTGTAAAGACAGGGTCTTGTTATGTTGCACAGGCTGGTCTTGAACTCCTGGCTTCAAGTGATCCCCCAACCTCAGCCTCCCAAAGTGCTGGGATTATAGCCATGAGCCACCCTGCCCAACCTAATAGTACTTCAGCTGAGTAACTTTGTGCTGGTTTGTATGTATAAAATGGTCAACAACGTCGCAAAGACTGCAGGTTTATTTTAGAGCAACGTGTTAGTTAACCCCTTTAGATTTTTTTTTTTTTTTTTTTTTTTTGAGACAGAGTTTCACTCTTGTTACCCAGGCTGGAGTGCAATGGCGCGATTTCGGCTCACTGCAACCTCTGCCTCCTGGGTTCAAGCAATTCTACTGCCTCAGCCTCCCGAGTGGCTGGGATTACAGGCGTGCGCCACCAGGCCCAGCTAATTATCGTATTTTTAGTAGAGACAGGGTTTCACCATGTTGACCAGGATAGTCTCGATCTCTTGACCTCATGATCCACCCGCCTCAGCCTCCCAAAGTGCTGGGATTATAGACGTGAGCCACCGTGCCTGGCCCCCTTTAAATTTTTTTAATAAACAAAAGTGCATTTGCATTATATACATATATTTATTTATTTTTCTTTTTTACATATTTTTTTACCTTTTTTTAGTAAATGCTCCCAGATCCTTATCTTATTATATATATTTTAAAGTTATCACTATAAAAGTATGTGTAATAAAAAGTGAAATTCCCACTCCGATCTCCCAAGTCTCCATAAAGAAGTTGGAAACCACTGTATCTTTCCAGAACTTTTTCTGTAGATTCACAGACATGGCAGGAGTGTAGAAAGGGAGATGCTTTATTTTTCAAACATAAATTACGTCATACTTTGTGTATATCATACAGCTAGCCTGCGTCATTCATTGAATCTGGGGCCTCTTTCCTTATCAGTACATATAGACCTGCCTAATTCTTAAGACTGTTTACAATAATTATTTCACTTTCTCATAATGATGCATATGTTAGTTGTTCTACAAATTCTTACTATTACAAATCATGCTGTGGCGAGTATTCTTGCATATGGACCTGTGGGTTCATGTATGAGCATGAGTGTTTAAGCTGTGCACATATGAATGTATGTGAATACGCCTGTTGTCACCATTGACAGCAGATGGATACAATTCAGTGATGAGTGCTGAAAACATCACTGCTGTGAAAAGACGACAATCTCAAAGGGCGCTTCCACCCTCGGACTGGCTAATGTTACTAGTTAGTGTGCATTATGGGATTTGAATGTTTCTCTGCACTGTAATTTCATAAGTTGATGGTTCAAAGAAGAGTTAAGTTTGAAGGTCAGTGGTCTTTTTAAAAACTCTTTTTTTTAATTTTAATTTTTATTTTTTTATTTTTTTTTGAGATGGAGTTTCGCTCTTGTTACCCAGGCTAGAGTGCAATGGCGCGATCTCGGCTCACCGCAACCTCCACCTCCTGGGTTCAGGCAATTCTCCTGCCTCAGCCTCCTTAGTAGCTGGGATTACAGACACACGCCACCATGCCCAGCTAATTTTTTTTGTATTTTTAGTAGAGACGGGGTTTCACCATGTTGACCAGGATGGTCTCGATCTCTTGACCTCGTGATCCACCCGCCTCGGCCTCCCAAAGTGCTGGGATTACAGGCTTGAGCCACCGTGCCCGGCCTTAAAAAACTCTTATTCCTTTGGCCAGGCATGGTGGCTCATGCCTGTAATCCCAGCACTTTGGGAGGTCAAAGCAGGAACGTCCTTTGAGGATAGGAGTTTGAGACCAGCCTGGACAACATCACAAGGCCTCATCTCTTAAATAAATAAATAAATAAATAAACAAAATAAAACAACACCGAAAATCCTTTTATTTCTCAAACGATTTCAAAGAAGTTCTGTGTATGTGGCCAGGGCCCATGTCCGTTTAAAGTAGGGCTGCTGGCTGCTGGCGAACTAGGAGAGGCCTCAGTCGCAGGAGCCAGGCAGCGTCCAGATGGCAGCCTTCTGCCACAGATGGGTTGGGCTGGGATGGGCATCAGGGCGGAAGACAGCTGACTCTTTTCTCAGCTACATTTGCGCATGCAGCCATTTAGATATGGAAATAATATGTAAATGGCTTTCATCTCAACTTAATATGCTGTTTGTGCCCAGCTGGTAAAATTTAATTTAATTTAATTATTTATTTATTTATTTTTGAGATGGAGTCTTGCTCTGTTGCCCAGGCTAGAGTGAGTGGTGTAATCTCAGCTCACTGAAACCTCCGCCTCCCAGTTTCAAGCAATTCTCCTGCCTCAGCCTCCCAAATAGCTGGGACTACAGACACGTACCACCACACCTGGCTGATTTTTATATTTTTAGTAAAGACAGGGTTTCACCATGTTGGCCAGGCTGGTCTTGAACTCCTGACCTCAGGTAATCCTCCCACCTCGGCCTCCCAAAGTACTGAGATTACATGCCTGGCCCCCAGTTGGTAAAATTTTAATAATTAGCTTACTAATTAGTTTAAGCACATATTCACAAGATATAGGCTCTACACCACAAAGTATAGCATGTTTTTTTGGTTCAGAGTTTTATTCACTACAAAATCCAGGTGATTCATTCTCAATTTGGGGAGTGGGAAGTACATTGCTCTGAGGCCTGACCATCAGAAATTTCCAGTAACAACACTACTTCTCATTTTCCTTCCCAGTGCTCGGCCTGGTTCTCCCCATGTGGGCCATAGCCCTGATTTCCTTTGGTGTCGCTCTCCTGTTCGCCTTTTTTGTGTGGCTCTTCGTGTGTCCGTGGATGCGGAGGAAAATAACAGGTATGGGGTTTTTGATTCTTCTGATTTACAGAAATGCTCCTGATTCCTGAAATCTCACATGTAACACGCCACAATCCTTCCTAACGGAGGAAACGGAAGTGTGGGCGATTCCAGAACGTACCGCATCCTCTGTCTCTCGGCTTCTGAGCGCTTTGTGGCTCGGACGTTTTCTTGATAACTTGTAACCCAGGTGGGCAGGAAGGTCCCAGTTGCCAGGAGTAACTGGAAGTTAACCGTGCAGTTCAGTTCTGCCAGCCTGTGGGAAAACATTAGCCTTCATGGAAATGCAAACTAACACCACAAGGAGGTTTTGTTTCTCACCCACAAGAATGGCTAAGAGTAAAAAGTTCTAGTAATTCCAAACGTGGGTGAAGAAGTGAAATAATTGGAACTCTGTTAGGTTTATGCTGAAATGTAAAATGATGCAACCACTTCGAAAGTTAGGTTTACAGTTTCTTTATAAAGTTGACCTTACACTTACCATGTGGGCCAGTAATTTCATTCCTAGCTATTTATCCAAAGACATGAAAACATGTGTTCATAAAAAGACTTGTGTACAAATCTTTTCATCATAATAGCCCAAACAGGCAAATGGGTAACCAAACTGAGTAAATGCATGCGCTGGACCACCACGCAGCAGTAGAGAATGAACTGCTGGAGACCTGACAGCTTAAGGCATCCCACAGGCGTGATACAGAGCAGAAGCCTGTGATCCAGAAGGGCACCTATCCTGCACTCTGGCATTTTTCATAATATTTCCATACATTTTCATTTAAAAGTTTTATGGATCTTTCCATTAAATTTAAGAATAGGGAAAATTCATCTGTAGCAACAGAAAGTGCTGATTGCCTAGAAAGGGTGGGGGTTGGAAAAGGCAGCTCGGGAACTTATCAGGGACATGAAATGTCTTTATTTTCATCAGCGAAGAGGCTTTAGGGTCTGACCACTTGCCACAGGTCATCACCTGTGTGCTTAAAATGCGTGCATTTTGTTATATGTATATATATGTATAACCTATAATAATAATTGTATCATTATAGTACCACAATAATGATATATGGTATAATACAATTTTTATACAAAAACTGTATAGTACTATCATAATTGTATTAATATATTATAGTAATTATAACATAAGTTACATGTAATGAAACAAAACAATAAAAATGAAACCAATTTTATTAAAAGGAACACAATTTTTAAAAAGAAGAAGAATATGGCTTAGGAAGTCAGCCAGGGCTGTTTTCCTATTCCCAGGAACATATCTGAATTCCAAGCCTTGAAGTCACATGCTTTTTACAGGGCTCTCAAAAAAACAGATATTTACATTTGGTCTCAGCGTGCACCATAGGGTCACGTTTTAGTATGGATGGATCTGGATTTTATGTTTTGAAGAAGACCAAAATACATGAGGAGACAAAGCATGCTCCTGAATTGGAAGACAGTATAGTGGAGATGCCAGTTCTTCTCAGATTCATCTCTAGACTTCAGACAATGTAAATAGAAATCCCAGCAGGATATTTTATAGATTTAGACAAGCCACTTTTAAAGTTCACATAGAACGTCAAAGGAACTAGATGAGCTGCAATAATTTTGGAAAACAAAAAGTTGGAGGATTTGTATTAACCTGACTTCAAGACTTTTTTTTAAAATTTTTTTATTTTGAGACAGAGCCTCGCTCTGTTGCCCAGGCTGGAGTGCAATGGCGCCATCTCAGCCCACTGCAACCTCCGCCTCCCAGGTTCAAGTGATTCTTGTGCCTCAGCCTCCCAAATAGCTGGGATTACAGGAGCGTGCCATCATGCCTGGCTAATTTTTATATATTTAGTAGAGGCGAGGTTTCACCATGTTAGCCAGGCTGGTCTCGAACTCCTGACCTCAGGTGATCCGCCCGCCTCTGCCTCCCAAAGTGCTGGGATCACAGGCGTGAGCCACCACACCCAGTTCAAGACTTCTTATGAAGGCACAAGGCAGTGTGAAATTAGGGAAGAGAGAGAGACACATAGATTAATGGAACAAGAATAGAATCTATAAATAGACCCACACTAATATAGCAAATGGATTTTTGATGAAGGTACAGAAACAGTTCAATGGAGAAAGGACAGTCTTTTCAACAAGTGGTTTTGGAACACTAGACATCCATATGCCAAAATAAGAACCTTCACCTAACCCTTACTTTAAAAATTAACTTACAGTGCATCATAAATCTAAATATAAAATTTAAAAACAATAAGATTTTTAGGAAAAAAATATAAGGGAAAACTTTTATGACCTTGGGTTGAGAAAAGTGTTTAGATATGATACCAAAAACATGAGCTATATAAGAAAAAGTTAGGCCAGGCACGGTGGCTCACACCCGTAATCCCAGAACTTTGAGAGGCTGAGGCGAGCGGATCACCTGAGGTTGGAATTTGAGACCAGCCTGACCAACATGGAGAAAGCTGTCTCTACCAAAGATACAAAATTAGTTGGGTGTGCTGATGCACGCCTGTAATCCCAGCTACTCGACAGGATGAAGCAGGAGAATCACTTGAACCCAGGAGGTGGAGGTTGCATTGAGCTGAGATCGTACCATTGCACTCCAGCCTGGGCAACAAGAGTGAAACACCATCTCAAAAAAAAAAAAGATCAAGTTGGTAAGTTGTACTTCATCAAAATTTGAAACTATTGCTCTGTGAGATGTGTTATGAACAGAATGGGAGAAAATGTTTGCAAATCCCATACCTGACAAAGGACTTATATTAAAAATATATAAAGAAATTTTAGAAAGGAAACAACTCAGTCAAAAAATGAGCGAAATAGGCCTGGCACAGTGGCTCACTGCAACCTCCACCTTAGAGGCCTATTGCAATAGGCCTGTAATCCCAGCACTTTGGGAGGCCAGGGCGAGCAAATCACGAGGTCAGGAGTTCAAGACCAGCCTGGGCAACATGGTGAAACCCCATCTCTACTAAAAATACAAAATTAGTCGGGTATGGTGGCGGGTGCCTGTAATCCCAGCTACTTGAGAGGCTGAGTCAGGAGAATCCCTTCAACCTGGGAGACAGGTTGCATGAACCGAGATCATGCCACTGCACTCCAGCCTGGGCAAAAAGAGTGAACTCCATCTCAAAAATAAAAATCTTTAAATAGACACTTCACCAAAGAAGATAGATGAATAGCAAATGAGTCCATGAAAAAGTGCTCAACATCACTAGTCGTCAGGAAGTGCAAATTCACATGACAGTGAGATACTGCCACCACCTACTTGAATGGCTTTTTTAAAATACTGACAGTAGATTGGGCGCGGTGGCTCACACCTATGATCCCAGCACTTTGGTAGGCCAAGGTGGGTGGATCACGAGGTCAAGAGATCAAGACCATCCTGGCCAAAATGGTGAAACCTCATCTCTAGTAAAAATTTAAAAATCAGCTGGGCGTGGTGGGGCATGCTTGTAGTTCCAGCTACTCGGGAGACTGAGGCAGGAGAATTGCTTGAACCTGGAAGGTGAAGGTTGCAGTGAGCCGAGATCGCTCCACTGCACTCCGGCCTGGGCAACAGAGCAAGACTCCATCTGAAAAATAAATAAAACATTTAAAAATTAAAAAAAAAATAGTAATAATAAATACTGACAGCACTAAATGCTGTCAGTATTTAGAAGAATGAAGAACAACTGGAACTCATACATTGTTGGTGGGAATGTCAGACAGAACAGGGAAACTGTTTGGCAGCTTCTTATATGGATAACACTTGCCATAAATATACTCTTAACCACTCATAGATATTTCCCTAGAAAAATGAAAACTTAAATTCACGCAAAAATCTGCACGTGAATGTTTATAGCACCTTTATTTCCAGTCACCCAAAACTGGAAATAATCTACATTATCCACAAATAAAGAAACTGTGGTGCCTTTGTACATTTGAATACTACTCAGCAATAAGAGGGAAGAAATTATCGATCCATGTAATGACGTGGATAAATTTCGAAGGCATTATGCTGAGTAGACTCCAGTCTCAAAAGATTGCATATTTTATGATTTTATTTATGTGACTTTATGAAAAAGGAAATTTTTCAGAAATTGAAATTTCTGATTCTGAGGTTAGTTTAAGCAAACAGAAGGCCAGTCCAGGTGGCTATAGATTTACAGAACATTAGCACTGGAAGGAACTGTGGTATTTGGATCTAGCCCTTTTTCGGTTGTTTTTGCATATGATAATTCAGGCCCTAAACTTCCATCTTTTCCTCAATTGCTGAATTTTCTAGCTAGAGTTTTCCAGGTAATTAATTGGACTTTTGACTTCTCTTTTCTTTACTTTTTTTGAGACAGAGTTTCTCTCCGTTGCCCAGGCTGGAGTGCAGTGGAGCAATCTCGGCTCACTGCAACCTCCGCCTCCCAGGTTCAAGTGATTCTCCTGCTTCAGCCTCCTGAGTAGCTGGGATTACAGGCGCCTGCCAGCATGCCTGGCTAATTTTTGTATTTTTAGTAGAGACGAGGTTTCACCATATTGGCCAGGCTGGTCTCAGACTCCTGACGTCATTATCCACCCACTTCGGCCTCACAAAGTGCTGGGATTACAGGTGTGAGCCACCGTGCCCAGCCTCGACTTTCTTTTCTCTATCTAGCTATAACTTATTTTTTTGGTTTCCAAAGTAAGTGCTAAAGCATAAAGATATATATTGACTCTTTAGTATTCATGCTTCAATAATAAGAACTCTCTTATAGAATGTTCCGTATGACTCTGTTTTCTTTAGGCAAATTACAAAAAGAAGGTGCTTTATCACGCGTATCTGATGAAAGTCTCAGTAAAGTTCAGGAAGCAGAATCCCCAGTATTTAAAGAGCTACCAGGTGCCAAGGCTAATGATGACAGCACCATCCCGCTCACCGGGGCGGCAGGAGAGACGTCAGGGGCCTTGGAAGGCACCTCCACGGGCAGCCACCCTCGGGCTGCATACGGTAAGATGTGCCTGGAGAGCTGGGGTTCTGTGGTGGCACGGAGATGTTCCTCCAGGGAGGACCAGCTGGGCCTGGCTATGGGCAGTCTGGTTTTAATGCACAAAAGCATCCCTTGGTTTTATGATTTGAGAAAACCCAGAGGCTAGGGAGGCCTCAGGAAACCATTCCACAGTCAGCAGAGCAATCTTAATCTGGTCCTGTGATTTCCTCCAAGAGCGGTTTATAATCTCACCAGAGGCGCGGGGGCCACGCACTGTATGTCTGTGCTGCACTCACTCAGTACACGTGCAGATCTCCATGCCCTAGGAGTCACCGAATTGCTGAACACTGGTTAACCCAGCTTACTATGGAAGTTGCAAAGAGGAAGCTAAATTTGTAACCAAGGTGGTCTCACCATTGAATCACAGAAACCAGAAACCTTAGAAAACGTCCAGACTGGCCAGGCACAGTGGCTCATGCTTGTAATTCCCAGCACTTTGGGAGGCCAAGGCAGGTGGATCACCTGAGGTCAGGAGTTTGAGACCAGCCTGACTAACATGGTGAAACCTGGTCTCTACTAAAAGTACAAAAATTAGCTGGGCATGGTGGCGGGCGCCTGTAATCCCTGTTACTCGGGAGGCTGAGGCAGGAGAATTGCTGGAACCTGGGAGGTGGAGGCTGCAGTGAGTCAAGATTGCGCCATTGCAACTCCAGCCTGGGCAACAGAGCAAGATTCCATCTCAAAAAAAAAAAAAGAAAAGAAAAGAAAAAAGAAAACATCCAGACCATTCTGTGTCCTTTAGACTCTTAATGTTTATGGACAGTGCCGGGGAGCACAGCTTTGCCCAAGCCTGCCCCGGTGGCTGCCACCTCTGCAAGGTGGGTTCTGGCACCTGCCTGCCACAGACACAGTCTCAGATGTGGCCCAGAGAAAGCAAATTTGTTTTGCCTGATTTATCTCAGATACTGCCTTTGACAGTATGACTGACCTTTTAAGATGCACCTAGAAAATTAGCCGGGATGATGGTGCACATCTGTATGTAGTCCCAGATGCTTGGAGGCTGAGGCAGGAGAATCACTTGAGCCCTGGAGTTGGAATGAGCTATGATTGCACCACTGCACTCCAGCCTGGGTGACATAGCTGAGATCCTGCCTCCAAAGACAAAACCAAAACAGAAGCACCTGGAATATCCACCTCACATGAAGTAGGTTTTGTCTTACCTGTGAAGTTTTTCTAAGATGAATTTCTTAGTGCCAAGTGCCATAGTAATTTCTGGAAGACACTTTTTAGGAGAAGTTAACATGTTTTCTGAAAATACCACATTATTAGTTTTGCCCTTCTGTTGTATGTTTCTACGTTTATTATTTTTTGAATGGTAACCATAGTACATGTCCTTTATGGCCAACTTAGAGAAGATAGTGTATGTTAATAAGTCATCCCCAGCCTTCCAGAGATAAGTGCCATGAAACAGTGGGGAGTGTTTCCTCACTTTATATTGGCAAGGCTGGAAAATGAGACCTTCTCTAACCCTTTTCAGGAAGGGCCCTGTCCATGACCCATGGCTCTGTGAAATCGCCCGTCTCCAACGGCACCTTCGGCTTCGACGGCCACACCAGGAGCGACGGTCACGTGTACCACACCGTGCACAAAGACTCGGGGCTTTACAAAGACCTGCTGCATAAAATCCACATCGACAGGGGCCCCGAGGAGAAGCCAGCCCAGGAGAGCAGCTACCGGCTGCTGCGCCGGAACAACAGCTACACGTGCTACACTGCGGCCATCTGCGGGCTGCCGGTGCACGCCACCTTCCGAGCCGCGGACTCGTCGGCCCCGGAGGACAGCGAGAAGTTGGTGGGCGACACCGTGTCCTACTCCAAAAAGAGGCTGCGCTACGACAGCTACTCGAGCTACTGCAACGCGGTGGCGGAGGCGGAGATCGAGGCGGAGGAGGGCGGCGTGGAGATGAAGCTGGCGTCGGAGCTGGCCGACCCTGACCAGCCGCGGGAGGACCCTGCGGAGGAGGAGAAGGAGGAGAAGGACGCGCCCGAGGTGCACCTACTGTTCCATTTCCTGCAGGTCCTCACCGCCTGTTTTGGGTCCTTTGCTCACGGCGGCAATGATGTGAGGTGGGTGCATTCATTTGTTCATTCATCAAGGGTCCCGGAGGCTCTGCCAGGCGCCAGCGCTGTGCGAGTGCCGGGATCCAGCAGTGAATGGCACCGATGGAAGCCCCTGCCTGGAGTAGGGCGCGCAGGCGGTGGACAGATCCATAAGTCAGCATTGCATACGGGACCGCGACAGCATTAGCAGGAAAGTAAGGTAGACACAGGGCAGGAGCTGCAGGGGTGACCGTGCGACCTGGGCTACCCAGGGAAGGGCTGGCCAATGACGGAGCTGCAGGGGTGGTCGCTTGGTGTCTGCAGGAAGGAAAATGGCAGGTGCAGGGGCTTGAGGCAGACACACAGCTCTGCCCTCCAGGACGAGCTAGGAGGTCGCGCGAGGGCCGAGCGGAGACCGCGCGTCTGCAGTTCGAGGATGCAGAGCGCGTGGCCAGTGGACAGAGGAAGGTCTCATCCCAAGAGGGAAGCTGTGGAGCTGTGAACTGGGGCCACGCAGGGTACGTTTGACAGGGCCACTGGCTTTTGGGCGATGGGCTGGACGTGGATGTGAGAGAAGAAGGAAAGGCTGATGCCGGACAGGAGCCATGGCGTCGGCAAAGGCAAGAGTGGAGCTGCCGCCTTTTAGGGATGACGCAGGCCCTGGACACGGCCAGTGCGCTATGCTGCTGTTCAGGCCGAGCAGGCAGCGGGCATGTGTGCCGGAGTTCAGGTCAGGCCAGACTGGGTGCAGAGCAGGTGACTTGGATGGAGGACTGCTAGGGCAAGCAGCGGGAGGCAGAGCACCCGGACTGAGGAAACAGCAAGAAAGTAGGTATGCCAAACCGGGACGCGAGGAGTACTTCCTAGGAGGTGATTTTATTTAAATTATTATTTTTTTTTATAACGAAGTCTCGCTCTGGTCCCCAGCCTGGAGTGCAGTGGTGAGATCTCGGCTCACTGCAACCTCCTTCTCCCAAGTTCAAGTGATTCTCCTGTCTCAGCCTCCCAAAGCAGCTGGGACTAGAGGAGTGTGCCACCATGCCTAGCTAATTTTTGTATTTTTAGTAGAGACAGGGTTTCCCATGTTGGCCAGGCTGGTCTGGAACTCCTGACCTCAGGTGATCCGCCTGCCTTCGGCCTCCCTAAGTGCTGGGATTACAGGCGTGAACCACCGCGCCTGGCCATCCTTCAGTAGCATCTTTAACCGCAGTGAGAAGGCTCCGCCCCACTCGTGGGCTGTAGTTCTCCCCACTGCATGGAGCAGCCGCTGGAGCTGCTGCCAGAGCCTGCAGATCACACCACATACAATGTCACAGACATCCTGCAAATAAGTGTGTAGGGACAGGGGCAGTTAACGACTCTCTAACCTTGACCCCACCCTCCCCACCCCATGCCCAGGCCCAGCATGTAGGAAGCAGGGCAGCCTCCTGGGGCCCGAGAGCCCCAAGTTTGGGTCTCTGCTGTCTTCTTACAGCTGTGTAGACAAGTCACTTGCTTTTCTGACGTCTGTTTCCCAATCTGTAAAATGGGGGGAAACAATTCCTAACCTCCCAGGCTTCCCCTGTGTACTGTAATGAGGATGGTGCTCCCAACTTGCTCGGTTTCTGTGCATTTCTGCTCGTGGTCAGCCCACTGATGTTTCAGGGGACCCTGCTGTTGTCATCTTCTGTTGCAAGCAGTGACTCCCCGTGGGCTGCGCACGCTGCCTCCCCACGTGCAGCTGCGTCTCTGCTCTTCATAAAAGAAGTCTCACTGCAGACGAGTGCATCTTTTATTCTGCTCAGCATCACATGGGCATTTCTGTGATATTTTATTTGGTATTTTCTTGGAGACAGCGTGCCCTGTCCTATTAGTAACTTTGTCTGCCCCCACGCTGTCCCACTTCCTCCTCCTCATCAAGCATTCTTTACAGAAGGCCTGGTACTGGCAGAGTGCTAGGAACTGGGTCCCTGTCCATTGGGAATTTAAACACAGGGAGATGAGAAAAACGTATCCATGGAAAAGTAACACAGTGTCACATTCACGCATTCAAACACACATGTGTGCTCACACAGGCACACTCACACACACGTACTCACACACAACAGTGTTTCAGCTCAAAGAAAGCAACTAGGCAGTGGCTGCTCGGGGTGATTGTAGAATTCCAAGCAGTTGCTTGCAGCATGGGGACTGTTATGGCTTTGGAGCAGGGAGGGCATCTGGTGAAAGCACCATTCTAGAAGTCATCTGCGTGAGAAGAGGCGTCCATGCATTCAGCACCAGGTTGAGCCCCGAGGCCTCAGCACTGAGCTGCCGTGGGCTATCCCACCCTCCCTCTAACACCCCTCTAAGCCAGGGGCGGGCATCTGTCAGAGATGGGATCTGACACTCAGGGTCACACAGGGAGACCGAAGCTGAATTGGAAGCCAGTTCCAGTGACTCAGTGACACCCGGTCTACACAGCTGGCTGCGGGAGGAAAAAAGAGCCAGGGAAGCTGTTAAGAGCACCTCGGGGTCTCATGGGCTCCGGGGGCCTGACAGACATGAGCAACGTAGGCACAGGGTGGGAGGGCCTGAAGGAGCCTGGGCTGTGCCCACTCTGCCACCTCAGAGGTGGGACCCTGGCCTCGGTTTCCTTATCAGTAAGACGGAAGCCACAGTGCCCGCTGTGCAGGGTGGCTGTGGGGATGGATGCTTAGCAAAATATTGCACCCCATAGTATGGGGCCTGACAGTCTGTCCAAAACTGGCAGCTCATGTTAGTAGTACCAGCAGCAGGGGGTGGCAGAGAAAATAGAAATTTTAGGAAAAAAGGAAGAAAAAAAGAACTTGGTTGTTGTGTCGTGAACTTGGTTGTTTAAAAAATTAATTTTGGCCAGGTGCAGTGGCTCACACCTATAATCCCAGCACTTTGAGAGGCCAAGGTGGGTGGATCATTTGAGGTCAGAGTTCAAGGTCAGCCTGGCCAACATGGTGAAACCCCACCTCTACTAAAATACAAAAATTAGGTGGGCGTGGTGGTGCGTGCCTGTAGTCCTAGCTACTCGGGAAGCTGAGGCAGGAGAATCACTTGAACTCCAGAGGTGGAGGTTGCAGTGATCTGAGATCTCGCCACTGCACTCCAGCCTGGGCGACAGAGCAAGACTTTTAAAAAAAAAAAAATTAATTGATTTAATAGGCTGGGCATGGTGGCTCACGCCTGTAATCTCAGCACTTTGGGAGGCCAAGGTAGATGGATCATCTAAGGTTGGGTGTTCAAGACCAGCCTGGACAGCATGGTGAAACCCCACCTCTACTAAAAATACAAAAATTAGCTGGGCCTGGTGGTGGGCGCCTGTGGTCCCAGTTACTCGGGAGGATGAGGCAGGAAAATCGCTTCAACCCAGGAGGCAGAGGTTGCAGTGAGCCGAGATTGCACCACTACACTCCAGCCTGGGTGACAGAGGGAGATTCTGTCCCAATATGATAATAATAACAACAAATTACACACCTATTAAGATGGTTACCATTTTTAAAAAAGTAACAAGTGTTGTCAAGGACAGAGAAATTGTTACCCTGTGCGCTGTTAGTGGGAATTAAATGGTGTAACCGCCTCCCCTATGACTCAGCATTCCTGCTTCTGGGTATACATCCAGGAGAATTGAAAACAGAGTCTCAAAGAGACATTTGTACCCCACGTTCAAAGCACCACCGTTTGCAACAGCCAAGAGGGGAGAGCAACCCAGATGGCCACTGACAGGTGAATGGAAACAAAACGTGCCTGTGCGTGCAGTGGAATATTATTCAGCCTTAAAAAAGAAGGAAGTCCTGTCACCTGCTGTAACATGGATGAACCTGGAGGACACAATGCTAAGTGAAATAAACCATCACAGAAAGAAAAATACTTTATGGTTCCCCTTCTATGAGTTGTCTGCAGCAGTCAAATTCATAGAACTAGAAAGTCGGATGGCGGCTGCCAGTAGCTGTGGGTAGGGGCCATGGGAACTTGTTTGAAGAGTGCAGCTTCACATTTGCAAGATGAACAAGTTCTGGAGATCTGTTTCACAACAATGTAAACATACTTAACACTGCTAAATTATAAATAAGAATGATTACAATGGTAAATTTTATGTTATGCTTTTTACCAAAATTTTTAAAAAAATCATTTTGATCATGACTATGTTGTATAGGTGAACCTCAAATGCACTAAGATGAGCTATGCTCAAGACAAAAGTCACCATGTACAGGAATACTTGGGAGACACTGCGGGTTCCGTTCCAGACCCCTACAATAAAACAAGTATCACAATACAGTGAGACACACAGTTTCTGGTGTCCCAGTGCATAGAAAAGTTATGTTTGTATGTTACCATACCGTAGTGTGTTAAATGCGCAAGAATATTATGTCTAAAAAGCAATGTACATATCTTAATTTGAAAATACTTTATTGCTAAAAATAATGCTAGCAACCCTCTGAACATTCAGTGAATCATAATCCTTTTGCTGATGGAGGGTCTGGCCTTGATGTTGATGGCTGCTGACTGATCAGGGTGGTGGTGGTTAAATGCTGGGGTGGCTGTCGCCATTTCTTAAATTAAGACAATAGTGAAATTTGCCACTCTTTTCAATTAACTCTTCCGTTTTCAATTAACTCTTCCTTTCACAAAAGATTTCTTCATAGTACACAATGCAGTTTGATAACATTTTACCTAATGTAGAATTTCTTTCAAAATTGGAGTCAATCCAGTCACACCCTGCCTCTGCTCTATCAACTGAGTTTATAGAATATTCTAAATCCTTTGTTGTCATCTCAACAATGTTCACAACATCTTCACCCGGAGTAGATTCCATCTCAAGGAGCTTTCTTTGCTCATCCATAAGAAGCACCTCCTCATCTGTTAAAGTTCTGTCATGAGATTGCAGTTTGGTCACATTGCCAGGCTCTACTTCTAGATCTCTTGCTATTTCCACCACATCTGCAGTGACTTCCATCATTAAAGTTTTGAACGCCTCAAAGTCATCCACGAGGGTTGGAATCAACTTCTTCCAAACTTCTGTTAATGTTGGTATTTCTACTTCCATGAATCACAGATGTTCTAATGGCATCTAGAATGGGGGATCCTTTCCAGAAGGTTTCAGTGGACTCAGACTCATCAGAGGAATCACTATCTATGGCAGCTACAGCCCTACAGAGCGTATTTCTTAAGTAATAAGACTTGAAAGTCAAATTACTCCTTGATCCATGGGCTGCAGAATGGATGCTGTGTTCACAGGCAGGAACACAACATTCATCTCCTTACACACCTCCATCAGAGCTCTCTGGTGACCAGGTACATTGTCAATGAGCAGTAATATTTTGAAATATTAATACTTTTTCAGAGCAGTAGGTCTCAACAGTGGGCTTAAAATATTCAGTAAACCATGTGTAAACAGACAGATTTACTTTGTTGTTCCATTTCTAGGGCATAGGCAGAGTAGATTTAGCGTCATTCCTAAGAGCAATAGGATTTCTGGAATGGTAAGTGAACATTGGCTTCAACTAAAGTTACCAGCTGCATTAGCCTCTGAAAAGAGAGTCAGCCTGTCTTTTGAAGCTTTGAAGCCAGACATTGCCTTCTCTCTGGCTCTAGAAGTCCCAGCTGGCATCATCTTCCAATAGAAGACTGTTTCTTCTATATTGGAAATCTGCTGTTAGTGTAGCCACCTTCATCAGTGATCTTAGCTGGATCTTCTGGAGAACTCACTGCAGCTTCTCCATCAGCACTTGCTGCTCACCTTGTACTTTTATGCTACAAAGATGGCTTCTTTCCTTCAACCTCCTGAACTGACCTCTGCTATCTTCCAGCCTTTCTTCTGCAGCTTCCTGAGTTCTCTCAGCCTTCACAGAATTGAAGAGAACTAGGGCCTTGCTCTGGATTAGGCTGTGGCTTAAGGGAATGTTGTGGCTGGTTTGATCTTCTATCCAGACCACTCAAACTTTCTCCATATCAGCAATATGGCTGTTTTGCTTTCTTATTATTCATGTGTTCATTGGAGTAGCACTTTTAATTTCCTTCAAGATGCTTTCCCTTGGCACTCACAACTTGGCTAACTGTTTGGCCCAAGGGGCCTAGCTTTTGGCCTGTCTCCGATTTTGACAAGCCTCACTAAGCTTAATCATTTCTAGCTTTTGATTTAAACTGAGAGACATGCAACTCTTCCTTTCAATTGAACACTTAGAGGCCACGGTAGGGTAATTTATTGGCTTAATTTCAATATTGCAATATCTCAGTAAATAGGGAGGTCGGAGGATATGGAGAGAGACGGGGGAGTGGCAGGTCAGTGGAGCAGGGAGAACACACAGCATCTATCAGTGAAGCTCGCCATCTCATATGGTAACAGTTCATGGTACCCCAAAACAATTATAATAGTAACATAAAAGATCACTGATCACAGATCACTACAACATATATGATAATAATGAAAAAGTTTGGAGTACTGTGAGAATTAGCAAAATGTGACAGAGACATGACGTGAGCACACACTGCTGGAAAATCGCGCCAGTGGACTTGCTTGATGTGGGGGTGCCACAAACCTCCAATTTGTAAAAAATACCATACCTGAAGGCTGGGCACAGTGGCTCACGCCTGCAATCGCAGCACTTTGGGAGGCCAAGGTGGCAGATCACAAGGTCAGGAGTTCGAAACCAGCCTGGCCAATATAGTGAAAACCTGTCTCTACTAAAAATACAAAAATTAGCTGGACATGGTGGTGCACACCTGTAGTCCTCTTAACTACTCGGGAGGGAGGCTGAGGCAGGAGAATTGCTTGAACCCAGGAGGCGGAGGTTGTAGTGAGTTGAGATCATGCCACTGCACTCCAGCCTGGGTGGCAGAGCGAGACTCCATCTCCAAAAAAATAAAAAAAGAAATAAAGAAGGAAGAAACATCATATCTGTGGAGTGTGATAAAGTGAAGCACAGTAAAAGAAAGTCACCTGTATCGTGTATGGTGCCGCTTGCATGTGTAGTTAATCTTTTTTCTTTTTCTTTTTCTTTTTCCCAGTAATGCCATTGGTCCCCTGGTAGCCTTGTGGCTGATTTACAGACAAGGCGGGGTAATGCAAGAAGCAGCTACGCCCGTCTGGCTGCTGTTTTATGGAGGAGTTGGAATCTGCACAGGCCTCTGGGTCTGGGGGAGAAGAGTGATCCAGACCATGGGGAAGGACCTCACTCCCATCACGCCATCCAGGTAAGCCCGGGCCGGTAGACAGGCAGGGCAGGCTTGTCATCCAAGGCCTGGGTGGAGCTGCCCAGCTGTGTCTGAATGGCCAGCTCAACACTGGCAGTCAGTAGTGGGTCATGGAGGAGGGGACAGTGGGCAAGAATGGCCCTGACCCACCTTGCATGCCATTTCCCCTCCTCCTCCCTCCCTGTGTCCCAGCCTCTGACCACAGGGTCCCTGAGTGGGAAGCGTCCCTGAGAGGGAAGGGCAGAAAAGGAGGGATAACAGAGCGGAACAGGCAGGGAGGAGAGGAGAAGCCTACCCTCAGCCAGCTTGGGGGCCAGAGGCAGGTGGGCACGGAGGGCACAGACTGCGGCAGGCCCCGGAGCCAATCTTTCCTGAAAGTTCTCTGGCCATGCCAGCTCTCAGCGGCCACCCTGCTGGGGTTACCTTAGCTCTTGCTCTGCCAGACAGGGAGGTGTCCCCTGCCGTCGTGGGTAAGCTCTGGAGGCTTTAAATGTGGTCTCTCAACCACATAAGCCTTCAGCTGCATCAGGGGTTAAAGGAACTTCCAGAACTTTTAGAATACAACCAAAATTTGGAGCCATCTGTGATGGGAAATCTCTCTTTTTAAACCATATGGGAGGTTTCCTTTTCCTACAGGCTCGGGGGTTAAAGGAAGGGAACTAAGGGCAGCTGGGGTGTGGGGAGGACCAGAACCCAAACCCCATCACACAGCTCTGCTCTACATCTGCAGAGAAAGCTAAAATAGCTCAGGGAGCCTCCTATATACACACAGACTTTAAATTTCTAATTTTTGGTTCTCACTTGAAATTCATTTTAATAAAAGATAATTTAGAAGATTGGTTTGAAGAACAGTTAGTAATCCGAGAGAAATACACTCTTTTGTAATAAGTGCGCATTTTTAAAATGAGAGCATAGCTTTTCCTTTTCCGTTTTTGAAATGGCTATCTTACTGCACAGCAGGAATGTCTGGCCACGGGACTGCCGTGCGTGGGCTTTGAAAAGGTATCAGAAAGCCGGGCCGCTGGGGACAGTGGCAGGAAAGCACAGCCTTGGTGCCGATTGAGCAGCCCCTTGTTCTGTTAAAGTCGATCTTGCCCAGTCAGCAGTCGGCAGTCACCCCCCAGAATGTTCTGGCGAGCCTCTGGCGCCCGCGGGGTGTCAGGGAGGATGATAAAAGGGCGCCCGTGACATGTCTCATGCTCCCCCCGCAGTGGCTTCACGATCGAGCTGGCCTCCGCCTTCACCGTGGTGATCGCCTCCAACATCGGGCTCCCAGTCAGCACCACGCACTGCAAGGTAGGCCCCTGCCAGCCGGGAGCCCTTCCCCAAGCCGTTAGGGTGGGTCCAAAGCCACCGAGCGCACGCGAGGGAGGCGGTAGCGCTCTGAAGGTGGTGGTGCAAAGCGCGTCTCTCAGGTTCTCCGCCTGTGCCAGGACCTTGTGTTCCTCCATCTGCCCCTCCAACGTCCTCCTGTTGGCAGGACAACACCATCCCTCGTTCAGACCTGGCTTTTCCAAGGCAAAATGCCACGGCTGGCCTGCCTGGGACTGACCTGCTGCCCTCCTGGTTTCCACAGTGGAGTTTGATCGGCCTCCTATGTGCTCTGAGCATACCCATGGGCTCACTTGGGAGCCTGCCACTCAGTCCAGCCATTCAGGGGACTGGGGGTTGACACTGGAAATAGAAATTAACAAAAATCATTTCCGTGGAATTGTTTCTGGTTTTGTTCCTTAAATGATGTTCAAAGTGACTATATTGCCCTTATTTCCCCATGAGGGGTAATTGCTGATACTGACCACGGTGCCATGCTCTGAAACCTGGAGCTGGACAAGAGAGGGCTCCTGGTGGTGGTGAGGAAAGCTGGGCTCGGGGAGTTCCAGGGAGCGATCCACAGGCTGCCAGGGTGGGGAGGACCAGAACCCGGGTCTCATCACCCAACTCTGCCCAGTATCTACAGACAGATACTTCTAAAATAGCTCCGGTGAGCCTCTGTGTACAGACACACTCTCCAGTCTCAACTAAACAAAAGTTCCTTCCAGATGTTTCCTAGGTTCATTTATTTGCATCATTCGAGAAAAACTCATTGGCGTTTGCTGCGTAGGGGCAGAGCTCTAGGCAGCAGGAGGAATACATGAGCCCTCATGACAGCCACAGCCACCCACGTTTATATTTACTCACGATTTTAAGATTCCAGCCATAAGTTAAAAAAACAAAACAAAACAAAACAAAAAAAAACCTCCAAGCAAAGGCAGGCAGCTTCGTGCTTCAAACACCCAGGTCAGGTGGCCCTCACAAGAGCGTCTGGAATGCCCCAGCAGTGTGTTTCAAAGCTGGGGCTCTGTGCATGAAGAATCAGCCTCAGTGGAAAGAGGTTTTGTTTTTTTCCTTTTTTGCTATCATGTATGGAAACACTTCAGTTTCCACAAAGCGTCTGTATTCATATACCCCCACTTACTGATCATCAGGAAGTGCTGGGTACTGTGCTCAGCACCACATGCATGGTGCGCCGTTCCCTCTCCACAGCAAGTCTGTGGGGTTGGAACTGTCAACTCCCAGTCCACAAGTGAGGAGACTGGGTTCCCTCAGAGCTGGGCCGCTTCCCACGTGCACACAGCCACATGTGATAGATGGAGGATTCAGATATTTACCTCAGGTCACACCTCCTTATTCAGGTCCCCATTGGCACCATCATGGCGCCCAACCATGGCCAGGGTGGCTGAGGCAAGCACTCCACTGGCGCCGTGAACATGAGCCCCCTCAGTCTCCCCAAGAACCTTCTCCAGCTTCACACATGAGGTAACTGAAGCAGAGGAAAGTTAAGTAAAGTGCCTGAGGTTACAAAGCCAGGGAGCCGCCCAGATGAGGCACCCACGTGGGCGGCGTGGCCAGCGCCCTCCTCCCCGGCTCCACCTGGCAAGCATGGGGAAGGCAGGCAGGAAGAGGTGTGCCCGCTACCCATTCATTGTGAGTTTCCTAAAATGGGTTATTTAAAACTTACCAGAGAAGCACATATTCACTGAAATAAACAATACGAGACTATAGGGAATGAAAAGTGACATCTTCCCCGATCTCCATGTCAGTTCCATTTACTGGGTTATGTAGGAGCATAGAGGAGACGCATGTCACTAAATACATTCTTTCCAAGGACACGGGCTTGTGACTTTCATCATATGTCTTTTGGAATGCTTTTAAACAGATGTAATGCCATCTTTTTAATGATTAACCTACCCTTAAGCAAGACTGCTGAAGGCAGGCAGACTGTTCCACACCAGTTGAAAGAGCTTTTCTTTTTTTTTGAGATGGAGTCTTGCTCTGTCACCCAGGCTGGAGTGCAGTGGCATGGTCCTGGCTCACTGCAGCCTTTGCCTCCTGGGTTCAAGCAATTCTCCTGCCTAAGCATCCAGGGTAGCTGAGATTACAGGCACGTGCCACCGCACCCAGCTAATTTTTGTATTTTTAGTAGAGACGCAGTTTCATCATGTTGGCCAGGATGGTCTTAAACTCCTGACTTCAGGTGATCTGCTTGCCTCAGCCTCCCAAAGTGCTAGGATTACAGGCATGAGCCGCCGTGCTCGGCCTGAAAGAGCTTTTGAAAAACCAGCACAGGTTTGGTTTTTCCAGCTTGTATGAGTTAGCTTGTAGCTAACTGTATGAGCAGTCTAGTCCGTACGGATGTTTACTATATACAGTGTTGGAATGGACAATACTGATTTTGCTAATAACACTAAACTCTAGTAACACTAAACTATAGGAATAGATGAGAAGTATAAAATGCTTATTTAAAAAGCCAAACTCTTAAATTCTCTTGACGTGTGATTTCCCCAATACCGTATTGATATTTATAATAATGTGTAACTAAGAGATTTATATCCAGTTTTTACAGCGAATAGATGTAATGTTATCATTATCCTAAGATATCTGTACAAGCATGTGATAAGTTTTGTTTTTTTTGAGCTGGTGATGGGTAGTGTTAGGATAGCTTGTTGACACAAAAAGCAGGTCTCCCTCACATGGGCCTGCAGCGGGGTGCCATCTGTAATAGGTCACAACTTGGATTCTAGTCAGTTTGTCTGATATCACTGATCTTGCACTTCTGGATAAAGTCCAGAGCTATTCCCTGTGAGCACTAAGGACACAGTCTCAGCTCTCAGGAGCTTGCAGTGCAGTTGGAGAGCAGATGGCTCTCATCAGAGTCCAAATAATAGAAGTGCCGGGGAGAGTTCACAGTTGTCATTACCCGGAAATGCTTGCTCTCTCGTGTCACATATTTCCCCTGCACACAACAGTCCCCAAATGGCAAATGTGGGATGAACTATGAGAGCCGTGGGATGGCGTGAAGAATGGGGCCCTCTGTGAGTGAGGCCATGAATCTGGACACATTCAAAGGGTATTGATGTCCACATAGAGTCATAGTTGAATTGGATCAGTTTCAGGATAATTATCCTGTGTTTGCTTTTTAAGTTTCTTGCTTAGAGCCATCTAACAGAAGGTAGGGAAAAACTGGGGACTTGGCAAGAAATAAGATGAAAACTATTGTTTAAAATGAGTTTTTGAATTTATCTAGGTAGATGTTACTGATTTAGGTTTCCTTCTAAGTATAGATGGCTAAGTGCATAGAGATTTGTTTTGTTTGAGACAGAGTCTTGCTTTGTCTCCCAGGCTGGAGTGCAGTGACGCAATCTTCGCTCATTGCAACCTCTGTCTCCTGGGTTCAAGCAATTCTGCCTCAGCCTCCTGAGTAGGTGGGGTTATAGGTGTGCACCACCATGCTCTGCTAATTTTTGTATTTTTAGTAGAAATGGGGTTTTGCCATGCGAAATGGTGGCTCATGGCTGTAATCCCAGCACTTTGGGAGGCTGAGGTGGGTGGCTCACCTGAGGTCAGGAGTTCGAGACCAGCCTGACCAATATGGTGAAAGCTCGTCTCTACTGAAAATACAAAAATTAGCCTGGTGTGGTGGTGTGTGCCTGTAGTCCCAGCTACTCAGGAGACTGAGACAGGAGAATTGCTTGAACCTGGGAGGCAGAGGTTGCAGTGAGCCAAGATCATGCCATTGCACTCCAGCATGGGCGACAGAGCAAGACTCTGTCAAAAAAAAGAAAAAGAAAAGGTATGTGGTAGTATGAAGAATTTGAACAGTTATTTAGAGCATCATAATTAATAAGTATGTACAAGTTTTTACCCTACTGATCATATGTCTTCCCGTCAAGCATCCTGAAACATTTATAAATCCAAAAATCAGAAGACCATGGTAAAAATCCTGTAAAACTTTAAAAGCAGGCCTGGTGTGGTGGCTTACCCCTGTAATCCCGGCATTTCCGGAGGCTGAGGTGGGAGGATTGACCCCAGAGGTATGAAACCAGCCTGGTCGACATCTTGACCCTGTCTGTATTTTCTAAAAATTAAAATTAAACAAAAAATTTAAACATAGAAGTTTTGCTAACCATGATCTCTAATTAAAATAAAATCAAACTAGAAATTAATTATATATTGAAATAAGAATGTATCCCAGTGGAGACTTTTTAATGCTTTTTTAAGGTAACAATTGAATTAAGGAGTTTAAAAAAATACAATGATAGCTTTCTTAAAAAATAATAACCAAATGTGCGTGTCTGTGAGTGGATACAAATAGCAAAACCTGTGGCAACCAAAGCTATGCTAAGATGAAAATTCATATATATATATTTTTGGGGAGACAGAGTTTTGCTCTTGACACCCAGGCTAGAGTGCAGTGGTGCGATCTCAGCTCACTGCAACCTCTGCCTCCCGGGTTCAAGTGAGTCTCCTGCCTCAGCCTCCTAAGTAGCTGGAATTACAGGCCACCACCACGCCCAGCTAAATTTTGTATGTTTGGTAGAAATGGGGTTTCACTATGTTGGCCAGGTTGGTCTCAAACCCCAGACCTCGGGTGATCCACCTGCCTCAGCCTCCCAAAATGCTGGGATTACAGGCATAAGCCACCATGCCCAACTGAAAATTCATATATTTAAATGGTTTAATTGATAAAAGAGAAAATAAAATAACCAAGTATTAAAATTAGGATTTTGTAAAAAGTCCAGGACAATAAAAACTGAGAAAACAGCTTGTAAGAAATATAAAAGCAAAATGAATTAAAAACAAAATAAGAAGAGGAGAGGACAGCAGCTACTAATAAAATATCAGATCACATCAAGGAAAAGAGGGAGGGAATTAAGTTGGGAAGGAGGAAGACATTGTAACAACAGATAGAGAAGAAAACTGTGGGGCTGGGCGCGGTGGCTCAAGCCTGTAATCCCAGCACTTTGGGAGGCCGAGGCGGGTGGATCATGAGGTCAAGAGATCGAGACCAACCTGGTCAACATGGTGAAACCCCGTCTCTACTAAAAACACAAAAAATTAGCTGGGCATTGTGATGCGTGCCTGTAATCCCAGCTACTCAGGAGGCTGAGGCAGGAGAATTGCTTGAACCCAGGAGGCGGAGGTTGCATGAACTGAGATCACGCCATTGCACTCCAGCCTGGGTAACAAGAGTGAAACTCCGTCTCAAAAAAAAAAAGAAAAAGAAAATTGTTTCCATTGGTAAAGAAACCACACAGCTGTTTGCTAAGAATTTGAAAACCCCTGTGAATTATTTTCTGTAACAGCATATGTGGCAAAGAAATACTGACCTGAGAAGTAGAAAAAAATCTGACCCAGAACAATAGGGTGAAATTAAGGGAGTTCCCCAAAAACGATTGTTCTCACCTAAAAAAGCAAAAAGGTGCTAGGGGTGGGGCGGGGGAAGACACTGCTGACTAGATAAATTCATTAGGATCTTTTCGATTTAAACAAACAAAAAGCAGCTCCTACACAATATAAACTATCCCACAACATAGGAGGAAAAAACAAAACTAGAAAACCTCTCCCATTTGTGCTATAGCTTACACTGAATAATCCTAATAACAAACCTAATTTAAAATATTACAAACAATGAAATCTATGTTTACCTATGAATATTAATTGTAAAAATCTTCAAGCAAGATGCTGATAAATGGCATCAACAATATTTGGCCAGGCACGGTGGCTCATGCCTGTAATTCCAGCCCTTTGGGAGGCTGAGGTGGACAGATCACCTGAGCTCAGGTGTTCAAGACCAGTCTGGCCAACCTGGCGAAACTCTGTCTCTACTAAAAATACAAAAATTATCCGGGCGTGGTGGCAGATGCCTGTAATCCCAGCTACTAGGGAGGCTGAGGCAGGAGAATCGCTTGAACCGTGGAGGAGGAGGTTGCAGTGAGCTGAGATTGCGCCACTGTACTCCAGCACTTTGTGAGGCTGAGGAGGGTGGATCGCTTGAGGTGAGGAGTTTGAGACCACCCTGGCCAACATGGTGAAACCCTTTCTCTACTAAAAATATGAAAATTAGCCAAGGGTGGTGGCATGCGCCTGTAATCCCTACTCGGGAGGCTGAGGCCAGAGAATCACTTGAACCTGGGAGATGGAGGATGCACGATCTCTCACTTGAGCTGAGATCGTGCCACTGCGCTCTAGCCTGGGCAACACAGCAAGACTCTGTCTTGGGGGAAAAAAAAGAACTGTGTAAAGAGCTATATGCTGAAGAATCCCCAAACAATTCTACCTAAAATCTAAGCCATTTTAAAAGCTGTAACAAATGTAGGGGACCGGGTAATGCCGTACTAGAGCTTGTTTCTGAGATTAGCCTGTGTACATTGGTTGAGTGTAGACTTTGTGACTCACCTGTTTTTACTTTGCAATGTCTGTGCTCCCACAGGTGGGTTCGGTGGTGGCAGTGGGCTGGATCCGCTCCCGCAAGGCTGTGGACTGGCGCCTCTTTCGGAACATCTTCGTGGCCTGGTTCGTGACTGTCCCCGTGGCCGGGCTGTTCAGTGCTGCTGTCATGGCTCTTCTCATGTATGGGATCCTTCCATATGTGTGATTTGTCTTCTTCCAGCTGCAAACAGCTAAAGGATGGTCTGGTGTGGGCGTGTGGGAGACGCGTGACCTCGTGCCATGCACACACACATCCTGGCCGTGCATGGCTCTCTCATGACCAGCTCTCCACCTCCCTTCGGGGAGGCTCCATCCCACACCATTCACCCAGGCTGCGGAGACTCACCTTCCCAAGCTAACTTAACTACTGTACATAATAATATGTATTAAACTGGTATCGTGGTGATATAATGTGGTGCAGTTACTTATATATTAAATATCTATTGTATCCATAGAATAGGTAGTGTTATTTCAAACATATTCAAGATGGGAGTGGAGATCATTGCCTAGAAGTCAATATTCAATAAATCTTGTACATAGCTATTTCAATAGCAAATGTTAAGCCTTTAAAAGGAAAGCGTAGATTGGAAAATAATTTTTTTCCAAATGATGTTTTTCCCTTCTAATATACTGTAAGGTAACGAGCTTCAGGACAGGTGACACGACCCATCAGAGGCCACATGCTGTGGGATGACAGCAGGACGGGAGGTCACAAGTGCTTTCACTGAAGATTTGTTCATATACTGTGTATTGATTCTTGTGTAATATATCATCATTGCTTTTGTAAATACGTAAAACTGTAATTTTTTAATGGTGTGCTTCCCTTATACTTTTTTGATCAGAGAATTTTGGAAAGTACCAAAGAAGCAGGGGAATCGTTGGCCAGTGTTACATTTTCATGTTGTCTGTCTCCCCCTCACTGATCATACCCACCCCGGAGCACGTGTGGCGGCGGCACCGTCACCCAGCATGCGCCACACCGTGGCTCCCACCAGCAGTGCCGCCGCCGCCGCCACCACACACCAGATCCTGCCCACCCTGCAGTGGCCTTTCCTTGTCATCAGAGTAGAGAATGCACAGGTGTCAGTGAGGGCGTGCGGCCGAGCACTACATGTCAAGTCCGGTGTCAGTTTCCATCCTAGTTCTCCTTGCAACCCGAAGAATGGATGCTTGTCTCAAGTGTCAGTGCAAAGGAGGCTTTTTCTGTGCTTTGACATTCAGGGACAGGAGGGAGGGGGAATGCTGAACACTGATGGAGTATTTATCTGAGGCCCACGCAAAGCTGGACACCAGGCTCTACTCTAGCCCATTGGAGTCTCTTCTTTTTTGATAGCGGGAGGGAGGAGGTGCGACTAATGTTGGAGCCTGAAACTATGGAAATGCTGCTAAAATTTTTATATTGACAAACATTTTCTTGGTACTTCATTGTGATTTTTCATTAATCAACCATATTAAATTTATAATAAAAAATGCCCCTCAGAAGTTTGCCTCTGAAGCATTTTTCTCAATATTGCTATTTTTTTCTTTCAGAGTTTCCGCAAAAAACAGAAGCTATATAATTTGGTCATTGTATCCTTTGTTGGTTTCCCTTATTTGACTACTGTTATGGGTTTGTACAGAAAACACACGTGAGGAGGAAACAGATGCACAGCGTCCCCACCCCACACTCAGAAACCCACAGTCTTGGGAGGCCGAGGTGGGTAGATCGCAAGGTCAAGAGATCAAGACCATCCTGGTCAACATGGTGAAACTTTGTCTCTACTAAAAGTACAAAAAAAAAATTAGCTGGGCATGGTGGCACGCACCTGTAATCCCAGCTACTCAGGAGGCTGAGGCAGGAGGATTGCTTGAACCCAGGAGGCGGAGGTTGTGGTGAGCCGAGATTGCGCCATTGCACTCCAGCCTGGGTAACAAGACCAAAACTCCATCTCAAAAAAAAAAAAAAAAAAGAAACCTGCAGTCAGCAGCTTATGGAGTAGTGGGTTGCCATGTTCTGGGCTGAGGACTGAGCGGGGAAGTGCAGGTCTTATCCTTTGCTCAAGCATCCAAAAACACCCCGACTTGCAGCTTCTGGAGGCCCCAAGGGAAACCCCTTAATCCTCTGCAGCGGCCACGCCTCAACCTCTTACTCCCTTATGAGCTGGGAAGGTGCTGGATGAGGCAAAGTGGCAGGTGCAAAAAATGCATCTCCACTAAGAGCGCTGCCCTTTCTGGTGTTTAAATGGCACCTTAAGCCCTCCAGTGCTTCACTTCAAGAAAAGATCGATTTTCCTCCCAAATCTATGTAAGTAACAGCACAACACAATGCAGGTGAACCTTGTGCAGCCCAGTCTGCGGGATTCAGGCAGCGATGCGCTCGCCACCCCTGTCCTGGGAGGAGGACTGCCACCTGGGAGCCCCGCCCGGCCCCTCAGGCAGGACATTTCCAGGGTGAGAGGGGAACAGGCCACACTCACCACGTTGAGCACTCGCGTGACTGAGCACAGGCACCCAGTCCGCCTGGCCAGCCGATCCCCCACAAGGGGAGTCATGCAAGCTGGGACCCCTGACCCTGAAAGGAGGCCCCTGTGGGTGGCTGAGGGTGCTGCAAGCCACAGGCAGGGAAGCAGAGTGCCCGGGAGCCAAGCGAGGTGGTGGGAGGGTTTGGTTTGCTGAGGCTGAGCATGGAGCATCTATCTCCAAGCCAGAGGGAATGCTGGCAGGGGCTCCCAGTCTTGGGCCACCAGCCCACAGTTCTATCCAGAGAATCTTGCCTGAGTTCACCGGCCTCTTCCTCTAATAATGCAGAGTCCTCAGACAGAGGGGACCCGGCCTGCTGCCATGCGATTCTGTTCACGAGATCCCTTTATTCCACCTGAGAGAACTGTCAGGGAGGCCTGGAGACTCCTCCCTTTCCTGCTGTCTGGGCTCCTCTGAGGGGGCAAAGTCTGGATGCTGTCAGAGGAGTTTGAGCGTGCTCAAGCAATTCCTACGCCTCAGCCTCCCGAGTAGCTGGGATTACAGGCACCCGCCACCACGCCCAGCTAATTTTTTTGGATTTTAGTAGAGATGGGGTTTTACCATTTTGCCCAGGGTGGTCTCAAACTCCTGAGCTCAGGTTATTTGCCTGCCTCAGCCTCCCAAAGTGCTGGGATTACAGGTGTTAGCCACTGCTCCTGGCCGTTAATAAACTTTTGAGCAAATATCTAAACACAACAGATTCATTTTCAGCAAGATAATTTTTAAGCTCTCCCCACCTTCCCTCCTTAAAAGAAGCTGAATTTGAATTCTGAAGCAGTAGTGATCCCAAGCTGCAGAATAAAAAATTTAAATCAGCATCGTTAGGATGACAAGTAAAGACCTCTGGCCTCTGGGTTTATCTGATGACAAAACGAGGGAAAAGGGCCTCTGAGGAGCTCTCGCAGTGTTTTGAGGCGTCCTGGGCGAGGCTGTTGCTGGACTGCGCTCACCCATGGGAGACCATGCTTGCTGGTGCCTTTCAGGCTTCTGGAGTCTGGCAGGACCGGGCTCAGAGTTCAGCTCCTGCTTCACTGACCCTGGGCCACTTCCATCGATCCTATTAGAGCCAGTTTTCCTGTGTTCAAAATGGGCAAAGGGACCCTCTCCCAGGAGTGTGAGGATCGGGGCATCGGCATGAAAAAGGGATCACCCCAGGGCCTGGCCCCAAACAGGGGCTCCCCAAGCAAGCATTTGTCCCTCTCTTGTGGGTGCATGCTTTATTTTTATGGGTGATTCCCCTCAGGAGGATGGCTCTCAGGAGAGCATTAATGGGATGATGAGCAAAGGGAATAGAAAACAGACCAGTTAGTTGAACAAAACCACGAGAGAAAAGGATGCTAGTGAATGAGTTCTCCGCATGCTTGATGGGGGACCAGGAGGCCTGGAGAGTGTGGTCACATACGCGAGCAGTGAGCTCTGCTCTTGGATTAACTGTCACCCTCTTTAATATTTTTATCCTTTATTGTGTTGAAAAAAACAATAGGCCAGCTGCAGAAGCTCATGCCTGTGACCCCAGAATTTTGGGAGGCCTAGGTGGGCAGATCACTCGAGGTCAGAAGTTCAAGACCAGCCTGAACAACATGGTAAAACCCTGTCTCTACTAAAAATACAAAAAAATTAGCCGGATGTGGTGGTGTGCACCTGTAGTTCCAGCTACTGGGGAGGTTGAGGCAGGAGAACCACTTGAAACAGGGAAGCAGAGATTGCAGTAAACCAAGGTCGAACCATTGGACTCCAGCCTAGGTAACAAGAGTAAAAAACAAAAACCCAAAACAATAAAAGCATGACTCATATTATGAAAAAAAAAAAAGTCACCTATATCCCGCCATCCCGCCACCACCCTTCTGAAACATTTTCATTTCCCTTTTTTTTTTTTTTTGAGACCCAGTTTCTCTCTGGTTGCTCAGGCTAGAGTGCAATGGCGCCATCTCGGCTCACGCAACCTTCGCCTCCCGGGTTCAAGTGATTCTCCTACCTCAGCGTCCCGAGTAGCTGGGATTACAGGCGTGTGCCACCACGCTCGGCTAATTTTTTGTACTTTTAGTAGAGACGGGGTTTCTCCATGTTGGTCAGGCTGGTTTCAAACTCCCGACCTCAGGTGATCCACCCGTCTCAGCCTCCCAAAGTGCTGGGACTACAGGTGTGAGCCACCACGCCCGGCCTGCATTTCCCTTATTTCGATGGATCTTTGAAACACGTGGAGCTGGCTGGCCACGGCAGGCACGAAAGCCCAGAATGAGAAAATGTTTCGGGGCCAACCCATCCGGGGCCAGGGCAGGCCCCAGGCTTCCTGACCTTATCTGGAGTCTTCCAGTTCAGCAGCGGCCAGGCCGGTCCACAGCTGTGGTCTCCATAAGAGGGGCTGTGGGTAGGCCGGTGAGGAAGTTCCAGGAAGGAGAGCTGTGAGAGGTGATTAGGAGCTTGGAAAGGAAGCCCAGGAAGAGAGGGTGAGGGCTCATTCCGCCTGTTTCTATAAAGGACACACGAGAACTCAATACGATTTTACATGAGGAGTTTCAGACGCAGCGAGGTTGACCATCTGCTCTCCGTGTGGCTAGAACAAAACCTACTTACACAGCAAATTGGATTTTGGCCGGAGTAAGATGGAGAATTTCCTTGCTTTTCCCAACACTTGCCATTTAGAGGTTAAACCAGACCCTGAATTTAGAGACTACAATGAGTGGTGGGGAGTGGGGCAAGGAGGTCAAAGAGGGGCTTAAAGAGCTCCAGGCAGAGCACGGCCAGGAAGCTGTGGGCATCTGTTCGGCAGCAGTAACAGCGGCACCTGGTGGGGTCGAGTTTAATTGCAACTCCACTACCCCATTCCCAGGCCTGGACGCCCTCCCCAGGTAGACCGCCAGATCCCGGGGAGGAGCCGGGCCGACCGTGCCTACACAGCGCGGGAATGCTGTGCCCAGTCCTTAACGTTTCCTTCCACGTGACTGGACCCCATTTGGGATCCACTTTTGCTTCCTACACCCTTTAATCCTCTCCGCCAGAGAAAGGAGTGTATTTGATAAGTACGTTGGGGAAGAAGGAAATGGGCTGTTGGAGTCAGCCCCCCTCAGAGCACAGGCGCGCCCCCAATACCCCCAACCCCCGCCGTCTCCTCCAAGCCAGCCAACCTTGGCGGGAGGGAAGGCCTGCCCGGCCCGACACTGCCGGTGACTCACTCTAAGCCACAGCCTCACCAGGCCTTTCTCAGTAGGAAAGGCCCCATTCATGGAGGTCTATCCAATCACACCCTAATTTACATTTTTTTTGTTTTGTTGTTTTTTAAGAAATAGGGGTGTCTTTAGCCCAGGCTGGTCTCGAACGCCTAGGCTTAAGGGCTCCTCCGGTCTCGGCCTCTTAAAGTTTTAGTATTCCCGGCGTGAGCCACCACGCAGCCACAATTTGTTCAAAGCTTGGCGGGGCCGGCAGCACGAAGAAGGGGGCGCGGGGTCTGAAAACACTCCTCGCGCTAACACACACGCCTGCACCCAGAAACGGGCTGTGGGTTACAAGGGAGGTAGCACCTGAGCGCCAGCACTGGTGCGGTGGGCAAAGGAAAAGGGGCTCTGCTTCTCAAGGGCAGTCCAGGAAGCTGCATGCGAAAGGCCGGGCTTGGCGTGGGGACCCCATGTGTTTACAGAGAACGCTCAGGGCGCCGCTCAGCTCCAGCCCTTTCGGGCGCTAGAAGCTGGGGCTCAGAAAGGTAACAGCGAGCCTCGGAGGACAGGCACAGGAAGCCAGACGGAACCGCAGGACAGCACCATCCTCCTCTGTCCCTCGAGCAAACCTTCGGCATAGGACAACGGTCAGCGAAGCACCGCTACAACATCCCAGTCACTTGCTGGGTAATTCGTATGTAAAATAGGATGCGTTCACTTAACATTTGGCTCACGCCTGTAATCCCAACACTTTGGGAGGCCAAGGCGGGTGAATCATCTGAGGTCAGGAGTTCGAGACCAGCCTGGCCAACATGGTGAAACCCCGTCTCT